GATCCTAGCCCAAGTCAGCTGTGCACAGACACTTCAGGTGAGCATAAGTTTTTATGGTGCTTGGAGTGTTCCTTTCAGACACAATTTCTTCGACCAATTTATAAACTCATTCACCTCAAAGCAGTGCCTTGTTCCTTAAGATTACAAAAATTTGCACGGATGGTTGGACACTGAAGACCTACAAAGATACCTTCAACTTGTAGAAAGGGGATGTAATTATCTTATGTTAGAGTTAGCCTGTAGGGGCCCTCTAACTTCAGATGACTTCTTCTGAGTTCCTCTGGGCTAGCACAACTCTCTTGAGCACTTCTTAAATATAATTTAGTCATTCATCCAAATGAAAAAGCATGTTTATTTCCTTTACAATAGTTTATTCTCCTCCACAGAGGAATGGAGAAAACTATTATATATAAACTGATGGGCAAGAGACCTGGGAGCGACTATTGAAAGTAAGAATTGGGAAGTTTTCTGAGAGGTTACTGTATAAAGCTTCAATATCAAGAGTTCAAGCAATTTATAGGTTGGTGTGCAACACAGACTAGGCTCTTCGATATGAGACATGCTACCACGTCTAATTAAACCATCTTTTTACTAGTACTAAGCTAAAACGTTTGCTGGAAAGACTGTGGTCATAAAGTTGCATACTTACATATGTAGTGGGATTCCCAGTGGTTGGAAGGTTTTGGTGGAAGTTAGGATGGCAAGTCTTGGAGAGTTGTAAATGATACGTTTTCTGTTAGCGTACTAAAAAAAACCATTGTCAGGCTGTTTGAAACTGGATTTGTAAACATGCTCACTATTGAAATCTGCTCAGTGATAAACCACAAACTAAAAACAAAACAAAAAGAAACTAGCATGGACAGAAATAGACTGGAGTAAAAGTCCCAAAACAGTGTGGGACAATATTTTGCAGAGCTCTATTCAGCAGCTGAAGACATTTGGTTGTTATCGTCCAATATCTGCCCAGGTGCTTTTCAATATAAACCAGCAATATCAGCACTAGGGAATATGCTCTTTCAGTTGCTTAGCAGTTAAGGCTCTAATTTGGTACTCTTAGTTATGGCAATCCCATGTTTGGATAGGATACCAAATTAGGGAGCTGTCAGTTAAACAGATGAAAAAGCAAAATATGAAAAGCCTTTTTTTTCCCCAATTTGCTCTTTCGGTTGGTTAGTAGATATTTGATAATTTGATATATTTAAAGGGCCATGCATCTCTTAACAAATAATTGAAACCAGCAATTAAACACTTCTGGACATTCATACAAACCAACACAAAGCTTGAAAAACTTTGAAAAGTATGTAATATACATTTATAAATTTAACATAAACTTGGCCTGACTGTGTGCCTCTCAGCTAGAGGAGTTTATTTAACCCCTTAAGGACCAAACGTCTGGAATAAAAGGGAATCATAACATTTCACACGTCATGTGTCCTTAAGGGGTTAACCTTCCCCCCCCTAATCTCTACTTACTTACCCTTCTCAGTTCCAGACCATTCCACTAATGACAGAAATAGGACATCATTATGCAGCAGCAGGAGAGAGACATGTTATAGACACACTCCGGACAAATAAAGCACTTTGATTTGCTGAAGTGCTTTATGTGATTTGAGTTTATTATTTTAAAATAAAAAAGTTTTTAAAAGTCAAGATTTCAATAGAGTATTCCACAGTGCCTGGGAAAGAGGGAATTGCTTGCAAAGGCTACAGACAGCACAAAAGAAAATACATAAATGTTTTGTATTTGTTGAGGTATATCTACTAGATAGTGAAAACAAATCAACTTTTGTTTTCCTTGAATTCAGTAATGTATTTTAAAGCATTTCATTGTTTAACACCTTTTATTTTATGCCTCCACAGTTTACTACCCTCTTCATTCTCCCTTCACCCACCACCTTATACTCAACCCCCATCTCTCCTCCTTAATCTATCCCTATTTGCCTTTCTACTCCTCCGACAGACCTAATCTGTGTCTCCCCTCCTTTATCAACCCATCTGTCTCTATCCTCTTCTGGTAAACTGCATTGGTGTCCCATTTCCCATGTAACCCACATCTGTGTCTTTCCTCCTGTGTAGCCCAATCTGTGTTTCTCTTCCTGTTAAAATCCCCATCTGTTTCTCTCCTTCTGTACAAATCTCCATCTGTGACTCTCCTCTTGTCTCCTGTCCAAGCCCCAATCTGTGTCTCTCCTCCATCAGCCCACATTGGTTTC